CAATATCTACCTGTAGAGGTAAGTATAATTTCAACTAATATTTACTTATTTTTATGACGTACGGTGGCCGTTAATGATTAACATGCAGAAAGAAAAATGTATATGATAAAACGAATTATACATTGGTTTTGAATTCATGGAATGTTTTATTTTAAAATATCCTCATACAATAACATCGCTCTAGGTCCATCCCATTTCGGTGCCAAAAAAGTGCCAAATTTCCGGGTGGATCGTAGAAAACTCAAGCAGAAAACCAAGAAATATTTACTGATAGACTCAAGTAGAAATACCACCATTTTTAACTCAAGTAAAAATCCGACCAAATTGCTCGTAAAGACTCAAACATAAACTCAACCAATAAGTACCAACAGATTTAAGGATTAACCCAGCCACAATTTACTATAGACTCAGGTATAATAAGGATGAATACATGTTTACTGACACAAGTTCAAATAATCCTTTCCTATAGACGCAAGGTCGACAAATATTTACTAAGTGTTGCAACCTAGAAAAGGTTACTGAATGAAAAACAACTAAAACAGTAGTAGGAAATGAAATGGTAATCTTTAGAACATCAACAAAATACAATACTCGCCAGCGGCGTGAAGTAGGTAAACCACTGATAGTTGTGGACTATTAAGACAGCATATTGCTCCCTCTTAAAATAGTGTCCAACGTAATTATGAGGATTGGAACATTCCCCTTAGTGTCCATAGGTACGGTATATAAAAGAAAGAAATAAAGAAATATGCATAGATAGATAGGAAAAAACTGAAATGCATAGATAGATAGATAGATAGATAGATAGATAGATATGAACAGACTGAGAAAGAAAGAAAGAAAAAAGAAAGAAAGAAAAAAGAAAGAAAGTGTTTTAACCTAGAAAGGGTTACTGAATGACGAATAACCAAAACTTAAGTTGGAAATGAAATGGTAATCTTTATAACATCAACAAAATACAATACTCGCCAGCGGCGTGAACTAGGTAAACCACTGCTAATGATGGACTACTTAGAGATTATATTACCCCCACTTACAATAGTGTCCCACATATTTAGGAGGATTAGGATATACTCAGTAATGTTTATAGGTACGGTATATGACATAATTGCTGTCTTGTAGTAATTAATTTAACAAATAATAGTCGTGTCTGCTATAACAGTTTACAGTGACGATATTTTGAGTGACTAGATTGCTAAAAGCTGATCCTGTAATCAGGAATAGTTTTGTTTTTGTTTTGTTTTATTTTTTATAATGTTCCTTTAGGGAATAGGTGTAACGATGTCAGCTCTCAGCTGATTAACTTGCTAAGGACCTACTTGCAGCACACTAAAGAAATCGCTTTGACAATTATCTCTCTTGTAAAAGAAGGTCAGCTTAATGTAGTGGGCATCCGAAGAAGTAGTTGAAAAGATCCTGACAAAGAAGGACACCCTGTTCTTACTTAATGCTTTTTTGAGATCAAGCTGACAAGAAAAATAACGATGTACCCTATGAGATAGTGGTCACTAGCAGCCAAAAACAGAAAGACGCCAAGAGACCATTAGGACAAAAGGCATGCCGGTCAGACTGGCCCCGTTCTCTTACCTCTGTCTCACTCGTCTACAGCACAAGCTTACAATCGAATAATGTTTTCTTACGTCTATAACTTTTCATTATATTTTTTCGTGGGTTACGATCTGGCTAAAGAGTTTTTTTTTTTTCAGCCACAAGCGTTTGACTGGAAAAAGCTGCATCCTGAAAACGAACTTGACGTCTGCAACTTTACATAGGCTATTATGGCTTTTAAAAGACTGCTTTTCTTTAATAAGTGTGAATTTTTGTGCCTTTTTGGGGGTGGGGAGATAGGGAAGTGGCTTCCCATTGACTTCTACACAGTTTTGAATTCAGTGCTTCCATTTTTTATTTGAGTGGCGGCCAAGAGATCCCAGTCTTCCTTGCTATTTAAGATTTATTTAGTATCATAGAGATGGATTCATGACTATTTCCAAGGAAAAGAAAACGCATTAGATTAACCTCGAGTCTGAATTTGGTTCACAGATTCCATATTCAGAGCCGATATCCGTTAAGCTATCTGAATATTCCGTTTAAGAAATAACAGTTTGAAAAGTTCTTTTATTTTGCAAATGAATCTGTGTAAAGAGCCAGGTATCAATGCTCGAACCAATGTATGGAAAGTCAAGTTTAGAATAAATTATGGAAACATTTCCCTCCCCCATTTATATCAGTTTGAAAAATCTTTATTTAATTTGAATATCTTCTGTTTTTTTTTTCGGTCGGTGGGTAGGGAAAGCGGCAAGAATTTTGCTCTGTGATCACCGACTGGAAAAAAGGCGATAGCGCTGCTTTAATAATGGAATGCATAAGACTTCAATTAACAAAATAAAATGAATTTAAAAAAAAAAAAGCAACAAATCATCAAAATATGATATTCTTCGTTATCTCGTGATATCAGACGGGCTGGCTTGATTTCAACTTTGTTTAAAAGATCACTGAAATTGTTGTTTACAAAAAAATAAATGAAATGAAAAATTACTGAAAAATGAATTTGAAAAAAGAAATCAGAAAAATGAGACATCTCCCGTTCCCGTGTCACTCGCTGAAGTCTCGCGGGAAACGAGATCAGAGAGCGAAGTTGCATATTTTTAATTACGGTGTTTTTATTACCGTTAGTCGTTTCGTTGCTAATATTGATTTTCAAAAACATGGGTTTATGATTTGCAACGTCCATGGATGGTTTAAAGTGATAATACAATGTGTAAAGAATAGAATTTAAACACCTTATCAATTCTTAGCAACGGACGAGAGTACATGGCTCAGACCAGTGGTTATGATATGGGCCTTACAAGTTACTGAATGTAGAATCGTTCCACAATAATTTCTTATATAAGACGTTTTTTCTTACATTCGGTTTTTTAATACTAACGTCTATCCAACACATTGCTTGAGAGCCAGTCAAGAGAGAGGCTTAATATTAAAGTGGTTATGATGAGTGAGGCGTGTGATAGGAATGTAAGAAAAGGTGATGGGAATTGCAGATTATGAGTACAATGTAACCCGGATATAAGAGAGTTGTCGGGACCGGAGTAGAAGTCTCTTATATCCGGGTTTCTCTTATATCCGGGTTTGGTCTATTTTATATACATTAACACAGGCTCTAATTTTGGACCAGAGAAAATCTCTCTTATATCCGGGTTTCTCTTATATCCGGGTTACACTGTATAAGGAAAATAGATAGACTGAGCCGTTACGTGAAGAGGTTCATATTGTATGGTTTAGGAAAGCATCCACGTGGGAGTCTTTTATGCGAGGTAGCAATTTTTAGAAAAAAAGCTGTCCGAAATGAATATGCATCTCACATGTGGAACAGCAAGGAAATGTGGTTCATTCGACGTCTTGATGTGGCAAGGTGGTGTCTATGATGGGAAGGTCTGAACTAGTGGAACAACGGAATTGAGATAAATTGAGCATCAGCTTTAGAGATAGAATAGGGAGATGCCGCCAACATCACGTCTATGAGAAAGAGATAGCAGTGCGGAGAATCAGTCTCCCTCGCCACTCAGAACCGTCTGAACGATTTCTAAATCTATCAAGGATGAAGAAACTTCAGCCCAGACATGACAATACATTATTTTTGGTCTTAGCCGATTCTTGTAAAGATAACTTCTGTCAGGTAATTTCTGAAGTGATAAAAAAAAGCTGACAATTTTCCACCCACTTTCGCAATGGACCGAGTGCCACTTGAGATCTGAAGTGAATTTAGCACCAAATAAACTTTCAAAGTATTTTTTAAATAATTTCACCCCAAGCAAGGCAATAAAGCCACTAAGACTCAAAGAGTTAATGAGTGTGGCAGAATATCAGAGAGAAAAAAAATAACGAAAGAGGCTAATCAAAGAACAGAAATCAAGGAGAGAGAGAAGATGACGATAGACATTGCATTTACATTTTTGAAGTTCAAATTTGACTGGGAGACAAGAAACTGGAAGAGAGTTCCACAAGCGAGAAGTGAGAGAGAAGAAACTGTTAACATAGAACTTACGGTTACATCTAGCTATTCAAATATGAAATGATGAGACCTTGCCGCTAACTTATTACTCGTTTCAATTCATAAAGTCTAGCTAACATAGAGGAAAGTAATATTTATTTTGCAAATACAAAAATTTAGCACAATGCCAGAAGGGGAGATAAAGGATGTCTGGTCTTCAATCTGTCTAATTTTAAACTTAATTCGCCGCAATTATTGACCTACAATTACCACAGCCTTCCTTACACCAAAACAACACATACTTATTTATCATTTTACTACAGGCACCATAATATCTTAACCCTTTGAGTTCTGCGTTCCTGAACATTTTTAACCCTTCTGTTTAGCCTTATGAGTCAAATTGCGGTAGATATAAAAATAGATACAAGTGTTTATCCACCGTTCAACCGGTAGCTGGGTATTAAGTCATTTTTCTCTACCCCCGTTCAACCGGTGGATGAGCGTTACGCCATTTTTCTCTACCACCGGTAAATCGGTGGTCTTGGCTCAAAGGGTGAAGAAGAATGAGTCAAAGGAATGAAAGAAGGAAAAGAAGCGGGAAAAGAAATGTCGTCTGTTTTTCTTGACCACCAAGGAGACGGAAATAAGAAAAGAGAAATAAGAAATATTGATTAACCCTTTGAGTCCTGCGTCCCTGAACAATTTTAACCCTTCTGCCTGAGATCCTCTGTCAAAATTCGCAAATAATTGGTATGTAATTTTTCACGGTAGATATAAAAATAGCTACAGATGTTTACCAATCCCTTAACCGATGGCTGGGCATTAAGTAATTTGTCTCTACCACTTTTCAACCGGTGACTGGGCATTACTTCATTTTTCTCTATTTCTGTTTAACCGCTGGCTAGGCATTAAGTCATTTTTCTCTACCACCGGAAAAGCGGTGGTCAGGGCTCAAAGTTTTAAGAAAGAATACCGAAAAGGAATGAAAGAATGAAAAAAAGCAGGGAAAGAAATGTCGTCGTTCTTTCTTGAGCACGGAGGAGACGGAAATAAGGAAAGAAAAGTAAGAAATATTGATCAACCCTTTGAGTCCTGCGTGCCTGAATATTTTCAACCCGTTTGTCTGAGCTCCTGCAAAGAATTGTTATGTAAAATTTCAACCGTTGGCTGGGCATTACGTCATTTTCCCCTACCACTGTTCAACCGGTGGCTGGGAATTATGTCATTTTTCTCTACCACTGTTCAACCGGTGGCTGGGAATTACGTCATTTTTCTCTACCACCGTTCATTCGGTGACTGGGCATTACGTCATTTTTCTTTACCACCGTTCAACCGTGGGTTGGGCAGAACGTCATTTTCCTTACCACTTTTCAACCGGTGGCTGGGTATTACGTCATTTTTTTTTATGTAAAACGGTGACCAGAGCTGAAACAGTTATGGTCTCATTGAAGTTTTAATTCCTGTACAATTTGCCAGCGGGGGGGGGTAATTTGTATGCGGGGAGTGGCAAATAATTTGTCTGCGGGGGAGTGGCAAATAAAAATTAGAGGGAATAAAGTAATCATAATACCTCATCTCAGAGATATAGAGGCGGAAACGTTGTAAATATGGCAATGAAGGTCAGGATAACCGTCCGAATAATGTAAATAATCATGATACCTCATCTCAGCGATATAGGCAGATGTTTACTCATACTGTAAGAATTTTCCTAACCAGTTCGTTAATAGTAATAAAAAACACCCCAGATAGACTGCAGTAACAAGTAGAGAATCTTATGGAACACGTGAATTGACCTCATCAGCTTCAGAAGATTGTTTGCCCCCAACTTCATGCACTACCCAAGAGAAAGGATTTCATGATGATGTAAACGGTTACAAATATGCCATATCTGGAAAGCTTGTGCAGCAAACTCGATGCCACATCTTTGCAAATGCTTTTGTAATATCTAAGGTCATCGTTTCTTGTCAGATTAAAACGAGCGCTTTATTGATTCTGTTGTTGTCTTGCAATTACAGATATCAACAGTTTTCCAAGAATTGTGGCCTTTCTAATGCTATTTATATATGCCTCGGCTAATTTGTATATCTTGAGAATAATCGTCTTGAAACGCAGCGAAATCAACCCCTCGGATTTTTCCATGGGAGCGACAACAGATATATGAACTGTTGCCTTGACTAAGTTATCGCTTTCTAATAGTAGCCGCTATGGGGTATAAGCAATTCACTTCGTTGATCGACGCCTGTGCAGGGCAATATAGAATGTAGATCAACACATCCAACGTTGTTGGTAAAGTTGAAGTGCATTACCCGTTGCATAACTGTGCTCTCAGTAACTATTTAGTTTCAGTAAACGTTCAACAGGTGTCGATGAACGCCAACAGATTTAATCTTTGTTAGTAAGGAGTTTAATAATCCACCACTCCTTCGTACAGGATTTTTTGTGTGTACACATGATTTTGCCAAACTGATCTCTTATATTTCCAAAGAATTACGGATTGTTGGTGGGAAGGTTTACAGTCTTCTGCACTACAATTTGCATCTACCTTAAATGCAACATCAAATATAGAAAATATCAAATACAGGATGTATTTCTTTTGGAGTAAACCATGTACACTGCTGGCCAAAATCTTAAGGGGAATGGAAGTAAAGAGAAATTGTACTTTTGCGTTGTTAAACTTAAAAAATTATTTGAATAGATGTTCAAAAAATGAAAATAATAAAAGCAAAAATAATCCGTCCTGGATATGACGATAAACTGCATCCACGTCCTGGGTAAGACGATAAACTGCATCCGCGTCCTTGGTAAGACGATAAAATGCATCCGCGTCCTGAATATGACGATAAAATACATCCGAGTCCTCGGTAAGACTATAAACTGCATCCGCGTACTCGATATGACGATAAAATACATCCGCGTCCTGGATAAGACAGTAAACTGCATCCGCGACCTGGGTAAGACGATAAAATACATCCGAGTCCTGGGTAAGACGATAAACTGCATCCGCGTCCCGGGTAAGAAGATAAACTGCATCCGCGTCTTGGGTAAGACGATAAAATGCATCCGCGTGCTGGATATAACGATAAAATACATCCGAGTCCTGGGTAAGACAGTAAACTGCATCCGCGACCTGGGTAAGACGATAAAATACATCAGAGTCCTGGGTAAGACGATAAACTGCATTCGCGTCCCGGGTAAGAAGATAAACTGCATCCGCGTATTGGGTAAGACGATAAACTGCAACCGCGTCCTGGATATGACGATAAAATACATCCGCGTCCTGGGTAAGACGATAAACTGCATCTGCGTCCCGGGTAAGAAGATAAACTGCATCTGCGTCCTGGATATGACGATAAAATGCATCCGCGTCCTGTGTAGGATGATAAAATGCATCCGTGTCCTGGGTATCACGATAAAATACATCCGAGTCCTGTGTAAGACGATAAACTGCATCCTCGACTTGGGTAAGAAGATAAACTGCATCCGCATCCTGCATATGACGACAAAATACATCCGCATCCTGGGTAAGACGATAAACTGCATCCGCGCCTTAGGTAAGACGATAAACTGCATCCGCGTTTTGGATATGACGATAATATACACCCGAGTCCTGGGTAAGACGATAAACTGCAACCGCGTCTTGGATATGACGATAAAATACATCTGCGTCCTGGGTAAGACGATAAACTGCATCCGCGTCCCGGGTAAGAAGATAAACTGCATCCGCGTCCTGGATATGTCGATAAACTGCATCCGTGTCCTGTGTAAGACGATAAACTGCAACCGCGTCCTGGGTAAGACGATAAAATACATCCGTGTCCTGTGTAAGACGATAAACTGCATCCCCGTCCTGTATATGACGATAAAATACATCCGAGTCCTGGGTAAGACGATAAACTGCATCCGCGTCCCGGGTAAGACGATGAACTGCATCCGCGTCCTGGGCAAGACGACAAACTGTATCTCATACCAAGGTTTCTGCTTAGGAGGTTTTGGGGAGCGTTCAAAAACCTTTTAATTGCCAGGTCCAACCTGATCCGGAGCTATTGGCAAATACTTAACCCCCAAACAGGAGTCAAAACACTATGAACGTGTAAAAATCGGTTTTAATATCAGCCATATACTTTTGAGAAAAAAAATTATTACCCGCAATACATTTTTGGAATAAAAGAAAATATTACCAGGAATTCATTTTCAAGCGTGATTTCCCATGATTCAAATTTCGCCCATTTCGCGTAAAAATATTTTGTTTTTATTTATTTATTTTTTCATTTTTATTTTTTAAAGCTCTACTCGAGTAATAATTCTCTGAAACGCAAAAAGGCATATTTTTCTTTATCTTCATTGGGCTTAAGAATATAGCAAGGTGAATATAAATAGTTCCACTCAGGGAATTAAAAAGCATTTATTTCCAGTGATTTGCTTATGGGTGTTTATTTAGAAAATAATTATTTTGGTGCAAGAGAAACGTTTGTATATGGGGATACGTTGGAATACTTTCCGAGTCGTTAGCCATTCTATCTATCTATCTATCTATCTATCTATCTATCTATCTATCTATCTATGTAGGTATCTATCTTTTGTTGTTGCCAGTTATCTATCTATCTATCTATCTATCTATCTATCTATCTTTTGTTGCCGCTAGTTATCTATCTATCTATCTATCTATCTATCTATCTATCTATCTATCTATCTCAAGGTGTGCATATCTGTCTATCTTTTTTTGCCGCTAGTTCTCTATCTATCTATCTTTAGTTGCCGCCAGTTATATATATATCTATCTATGGTTGCCGCTATATTATCTATCTACCTATCTATGTATGTATCTTGTTTCCGCCAGTTCTCTACCTATCTAACTATCTTTTGTTGCCGCCAGCTATCTATCTATCTTTTTGGCCGCAAATTCTCTACCTATCTTTCTATCTATCTATCTTTTGTTGCTGCTAGTTCTCTATCTATCTATCTATCTATCTATCTATCTATCTTTTCTCAATCTGTTCATATCTATCTTTTGTTGCTGCTAGTTCTTTATCTATCTCCCTATCTATCTATTGGTGCCGCCAGTTCTCTACCTATCTATATATTATTGCCGCTAGTTATCTATCTATCTATCTATCTATCTATCTATCTATCTTTTGTTGCCGCCAGTTCTCTATCTACCTATCTATCTTTTGTTGCCGCTAGTTATCTATCTATCTATCTATCTATCTATCTATCTATCTATCTATTGTTGCCGCCAGTTCTCTATCTATCTATTGTTGGCGCCAGATCTCTACCTATCTTTCTATCTATCTATCTATCTCTCTATCTTTTGTTCCCGCCAGTTATCTATCTATCTATCTATCTATCTATCTATCTATTGTTCCGCTATCTATTTATCTATTATTTATCTATTGTTTATCTATCTATCTATCTATCTATCTATCTATCTATCTATCTATCTATCTATTGTTGCCGCCAGTTATCTATCTATCTATCTATCTATCTATCTATCTATCTATCTATCTATCTATGTATCTTTTGTTGCCGCCAGTTATCTATCTATCTATCTATCTATCTATCTATCTTTTGTTTCCGCCAGTTCTCCATCTATCTATCTATCTATCTATCTATCTATCTATTGTTGTTTTTAGTTATATATCTATCAATCTACCTCAATCTGTTCATATCTATCTATCTATCTATCTATCTTTTGTTGCCGCCAGTTCTCTACCTTACTATCTTTTGTTGCCGCCAGTTATCTATCTATCTATCTATCTATCTATCTATCTATCTATCTATCTTTTTTGCCGCCAGTTCTCTACCTACCTATCTATCTATGTTTTGTTGCCGCTAGTTATCTATCTATCTATCTATCTTTTCTCAATCTGTTCATATCTATATATCTATCTATCTTTTTATCTTTTGTTGCCGCTAGTTATCTATCTATCTATCTATATCTATTGTTGCCGCTAGTTTATCTATCTATCTCAATCTGTTCATATCTATCTATCTGTCTATCTATCTATCTATCTATTGTTGCCGCCAGTTCTCTACCTATCTATCTATTGTTGGCGCTAGTTATCTATCTATCTCTATCTATCTATCTATCTCAATCTGTTCATATCTATCTATCTATCTATCTATTGTTGACGCTAGTTATCTATCTATCTATCTATCTATCTATCTATCTATCTATCTATCTATCTTTTTTGTTGCCGCTAGTTATCTATCTATCTATCTATCTCAATCTGTTCATATTTATCTATCTATCTTTTGTTGCCGCCAGTTATCTATCTATCTATCTATCTATCTATCTATCTATCTTTTGTTGCCGCCAGTTCTCTACCTACCTATCTATCTATCTATCTATTTTTTGTTGCCGCCTGTTCTCTACCTACCTATCTATCTATCTATTTTTTGTTGGCGCTAGTTCTCTATCTATCTATCTATCTATCTATCTATCTATCTATCTATCTATCTATCTATCTTTTTTGTTGCCGCTAGTTCTCTACCTATCCATCTATCTACCTATCTGTTTCAGTCAGTCAGTTATGGGCCACGCATGATACACCCTTAGGTGATCATGTCTCTTTCAATACATGATTGACGAGGCAGATTTTTTTCCCGCAGTACGTTGTCATTCCTTGGTAGAACAGTTGACATCCAAGGCTATTGAACCCAGTCTCTCCTGTTATTTACCCATAGCTGGGGGGGGAGAAGAAGTGGATTCATACGTTTCCTAAGTGTCTCAGCACGTAAGTGAAAGTAATGGACACGACTGAAATTCGAAATCGTCTCTCCGATTCCTCAATCAAAGCCGCTATCCATCACTTCACCGTATTTATCTCAGCTTGTTAAAATCAATCAACCTATCTATCCATCTATCTTATTCTTTTAAAATCAACCTATGTTAGTCTGTTATAATCTATGTATGTATGTATGTATGTATCTATCTATCTATCTCCATACCCTTCTTCCTCTGTCTCTGTCTCTCTCTGTCTCTCTGTTTCTCTCTCTCTCTCTCTCTCTCTATATATATATATATATATATATATATACGTATGTAAATACGTGCATATATATATATATATATGACATCTACATGCTTCAGTTAACGGTGTCATATCGCTATTTTATTAGTTATGGCATATATTAATATGTTTGTTGTTAAATGGAATGAAATTTTATTGTTGTTCGGTCGTTTCTTTTATCTGGTCAAGTGTTGTAGTAAATACACACACACACACACACACACGTGTGTGTGTGTGTGTCTATTCAATGAATCAAGAAAAGATCAAATGACTTATCAGGCTGAATGATTCAAGAGATTCGCTTCAAAACACTCATCAAGGATAGATGTTTTATAAATGTATTGAAAATTTAAGCTCTAGTTATTGATTGATCGATTTTACTTCAAATTCTTGTAATTTTGAGGTATTTTTCACGTGTATTATCATATATATATATATATATATATATATATATATATATATATAGCGATAGATAGATAGATAGATAGATAGATAGATAGATAGATAGATAGATTGTGTAATTACAACAATAAGGCATAAAACTATTTACACTATTTACATTGGTTGGACTGTTGAACTCATCTTTGTTGCAATATTCACGACGTTTCGATCGTTGTACGCTCGGGACATCTTCAGGATTTGTATATACTTTCAAGATGAGACATTATAGTTATTTACACTATTTACATTGTTAGGGGCTTTGTCCTTGTCTTTGTTGCCATATTCACGACGTTTCGACTGATGTAGGCTCCATTGTACGTGGTTGGATTTTCGAGCTGAACACTTTATTTCGACAGATGGTCGTCGGATTAAATGAGGCAAAATAATTTATTACCTCACCTATTGTCCAAAAATACCAACGCATTTTCCTAACAGAGGCAAAATCGGCGAAGGGCATTGTTTAAGTTTTTTTCACTCTGTTTCATTATTTTTTACCATATGCGTATATATATATATATATATATATATATATATATATATATATATATATATATATATAATATTAATTGATAATTATTAGGGATAATTTCAAAAATGATATACATGGTAAGAGAGCTCAATGTAAGAACAGGGCGAATATGATAATACTGAAAGCGGAGACATTAGAAATCCATGGTAATAATTTATTTCACGGGATCAAATCGCGTCTCATCAAACCAAACTATTTTACAGCTATATATATATATAATTAAAAAATGTCAAACATTTAAAATCCCATAGGGAATAATTTTTATTTCATGAGAGCTCTAAAAAGCAGTTTATAAATATGGAAAATTGAGAACATTTTTTTAGAGCTCTCATAAAATAAAAATTATTACCTATGGGATTTTACGTGTTTGATATTCTTTAATCTCTATCTATAAAAGGCATGATGTGTGTGTGTGTAACGAATGCACGGTCGCAATTTTTCGACGGATTTGCACCAAAATTTACATGCTCATGTTCCAAGTTAGCGGAAAGGCCAAGACCGTCTTTGCATTTCCCAACTCCCATCGATAGTGGAAATAATCGATTTTCTCAATGCTTCTACGGCAGTTTTCCTGTAGTATATGGCCATTTTCTACTGGCCAGAGTGAGAGCCTATAGCTGGCTGCCACGAATAGGCAGGAAGATTCTATTGGCCAGCGTGAGAGCCAACAGCTGACTGGCACGAATGTTAACTAGCATGCAAAAAAAATATCGATAGCTGCATTCGTCACAAGTGGGAAAAATTTAAATCTGCATGGCACTTTACCCTAATTGGCTCATTCGCTTGCTTAAACTCAACGTTGATTCTGATTCCGCAGAGCTGGGTTCGGTGTGAAAAAGTATTTGTTGTTAACATTCTTTTTTCATTCGGCTTTTCCAGTTACGAGTCCTTTTTTAAAGCTGATCGTTTTGTGTTCATTTTGTTTAGTTCTTTTTTCGTAACAGATTTAATGTTTAGTATAGAGCTTAGAAAAAAATTGGCAGTGTGAAAAAGGCAAGAAGTAAGGCATGTAGCAACATCAGCACAGCAAAGGGCACTCCTTTAAAGGCAAGGAAGGGCAAAAATATTTTAAGTCAAGTGATAGCGATTGCTGTATGAGTCGTACGATTTTTGAATCAAGCACGGGCAACGCCGGGCCATGCTGCTAGTCAATAATAATTTTGCTCTGTCTTTTGACATAGATCTCTCCTTGGATCTATATCTTACCGGAAATTCCATACGCATTATCATATTGCATTATTATATATATATATATATATATATATATATATATATATATGTTGTCATCCACAGACTTTTTCGCTGTTTCACAGCTTATCAGTGTGGTTAAAAGGGATCAAGCAGGGATTGAAACCCGACTGAGTTGGTATCATTGTTGCACGGCAGGGGTGAAGGTGAATTTAGACGTATTTATTTTTAGACAAATAAATTAACGTTTACAATTTCACTTTTCTCCCGGAGAGCTTAACCGAAATATTTTTTTCAGGAGCATGTATATATATTGTCATGCCTGTGTGTGTGTTTGTGTGTGTGCGTGTATATGTATGTACGTGTACGTGTGTGTGCGCGTGAATTGAAACTTATTTATTAATTTAGAGTATTTGATTTTGTTACATTGCTACCTCTCCTAAGCTAGGGTTTCTGAAATAAATAATAAAGCATTGTTAAAACAAAATGCAATTCAATGTTAGTTTCACGCTGCGTGAATAACTCCAGACAATAAATTCAAAATCAATTCTATCTGCATCCGTATATAACACACACAAACAAACACATACACCCCATATATATATATATATATATATATATATATATATATATATATATATATATATATATAGTTTTAATATATGCTATATTTATAGGATAAAGTGAAGTGCTCAATATCAAAGATAGAGCATATGTAAATATGACGTCAACACTCAGAAGCGAAAATTAAACCCAATTATCAAGCTTGATGATTGCGTTTAACATGAAACTCTCTGCCGCCTCTGTGTCTTGACTTCAATGTTCGCATTTACATATATATATATGGATGACATTATATATATATATATATATATATATATATATATATATATATATATATATCAAACTGGAAAGTTTTTTTTGTGACGCGTTTCATCCATGAGGATTCCATTTTTTGATACATACAATTATATAAAATTATATATCGTTAAATATCATATATATATATATATATATATATATATATATATATATATATATTTTATACATAGTGGTAATTTATCCTTATTATCACCTTCAGCTATGACAACTTTTATATATATATATATATTATACTTTAATATATATACTATTTTTCTTTTATTATTATATATATATATATATATATATATATACTGAAAAGAAAATAGTATATACAGTTGATAATAGTGACAATGTGGAAAAGAGTCTGTTTAATGTCTTCCGTCCTCTCGAAGAAGAACTTCATCACATTAAATCAATGTTTTTGTTCATGGAATTATAAGCCAAACATAAAATATATTACAACTCCTTCTAAAACAATAAATAAGTTAAAAAAATGATAACAATAATAATAAGCTAAAAATTGAAAGGGGAATTTATTTTATATCCTGTAACGATTTCCACAAGGAATACATAGACGAAAACTCCAGGAATTTAAGTAAAAAAAAGATATAATTATGGCTTTGTGCCAGACTAAAATCAGTAAATATCGATAAATCTTGTAACAGGGTGGCTTGTTCGGCATGTTGAAGTAATTATCCCGTTGTTATATGTATTTGTATTAGAGGGTTACTTTTCTCTTTTTTTGTACCGAAAATAAAATGAATAAAACGTACAGCAATAACATAAACAATAAGACTTTGAGATAGGTGTTGACATTAATGACAATAATGTATATTTTTCTTTTCGTGATATTAATTACAATATTGGTATTGGGTGTGTTAAAAATGTTCTCACTGGTATTGTCTCTGTTTCTTTAAAACTTTCTGCTTACTTGTTTTTAGCTTGTTCCTAGAATTTCGTGTTCACAGTTCTTAAGGGTTGCGTTAGAAACCATTACTTGTGGATTTTTATGGAGCGAAGAAGAGAAGTCAGTGTGTTGTTCTTTTTATCACTGCTACTCTACTGACCTCCTTTGTGTTGGAAGAATCGTTTTTATAATGATGAAGTTTTAGATTTTAGAATGGTGAAATATTTGATCTTTATTTCCAGGATGATGAAAATTCTTGATCATCAATCATCACTGGTGGAAAGATTGTTTTTAGAATGATGAATTATCACCACCATTCTGGATCATAACAGCACTATTACCCAAAGAGAAACGAATTCTTCACTGTAGTAATGGCCTGCGAGATAAGCACTTATTGTCAGAGGTTTGAGTAGCAATTCAGTTTTGGAAACTATTTTGTTGGCGTCGTGAGTTGCAGGGACATTAACTGTTTGGTCAATGAATGCCGAATATTTTCTGTATAGAAACGTTTAATTTCATTATTAGCACAGTAGAGGGTGCACGTGTAGTTGTTAATATGTTACCCCGTTTTTATATGTATTTATATTAGTTGACAGAGGATTCCTTTTCTTTTTTTGCTGAAAATGAATGGAATAAAACGTACAACAATAAAATCATACTTATTATAAAACCCAGGTTATGTGTGTGTGTGTGTGTGTACGTTTATATATTGGATCGGATTTCCTACATTTTTCAACCGATTTCAACAAAACTTCACAGGACTACGTAAAATTACCTTGCAGTGGTTCTAACAGCACCAAAAATTAAAAAAACCCAATTGTTTTTGCACGAAATCAATTTGAAAGCACGATTAAGAGGAATATCGAGTTATACTTATTATAAAACCCAGATTGTTTGTGTGTGTGTGTGTGTGTGTGTGTGTGTGTGTGTGTGTGTGTGTGTGTGTGTTCGTTTATATATGGGATCGGATTTCCTACTTTTTCAACCGATTTCAACAACACTTTTTTTTGGCAGGTAGTGTTTCTTAATGTCTTGCACACTTTTTTCTTTATTTTTACATTCAGAATGCTTTAAAAATTCCATTTACAAGACAATTGTTTATAATAAAATTCTATTCAGTCGGTACACTCATAACGATTGAAAACAATGTTTTTGTTTGAGTTTGGGTTTGACCAATTCGTAAAAAAATAAAAAAACTAATTAAGACATGTGTGTCCGTCAACCTTAAACAATAATCTTTGTCAATTTTATTTTTCAGTCTTTATGATGGTCGATACTTGATCTATCTCTTACTGTTACATCCCCGGGTAACGCCGGGCTCTACTGCTAGTAAACAATAAGACTTTGAGACACGTGTTGACATTAATGACAACAATGTATATTTTTCTTTTCGTGATATTAATTACAATATTCGTATTGTGTGTGTTAAAAATATTCTCAGTGATATTGTCTCTTTTGTTTGTTTAAAACTTTCTGCTTACTTGTTTTTTGCTTGTTCCGAGAATTTTGTGTTTAAGGGAAGCATTTCAAACCGTCAACACTCAATTTTCACGGAGCGATGGCGATACTACTGTGTTGTTCCTTTTACTACTGCTACTGCTACTCTACTGACTTCACTTGTGGTAGGAAGGATCGTTTTTATAATTATGAACTTTTATGAAATATCATCATCATATATGATCAAGGATTGAAAGATATTTATCTTTATTTCAAGGGTGATGGATTATTTTATCTTTTTTTTTTCCTGAATGATTAAATATCCTTATCATCAATCATCACTGGTAGAAAGGTTGTTTTTATAATGATGAAATATTATCATCGTTCTGGATCCTAACAATCTGTCGTTTTCCTCAGAGTAGAAGAAAATAGATAAAGAGCTATTGTAGATGTACTTGTGTTCTGCTTTTCTTTATTCTCTGGCCATCGTGCTGAGATCAAAGTGTATTATCTGTTCTGCTCATCTCTAACAGTACATCATTGTGCAAATTAATTTAAACAAAACTAATAATTCCGTTATTATTTTTCTTCGTATTTCTTCCAACATGACCCAGTGCACATGTTCAGGTTAATGTTTTGGTTTAGTAGCAATTGGTGGTGTTGTGCGAAACTACCAAGTCTATACTGTGTCCAATTTTCTTATCATATACAAAATTTGTTATAACTGATCGATACACAGAAGCATCTGAAGTGTTTAATATTTAATAATTCCACATCCTGATTTTTTATTATGGATTCAGTTTAACTGCTAACACTTCACCAGTTTCGTAGATAGGCATTACTTTCGATCTACATCCGAGATCATTTGACCACTGAAGATGATCTCGGAAGAAGTACTTAGGAAATGGGAAATTAAAGTGATTTAAGCAGTTACAGGACATTTCTCACATCATTTAATTGCAATACACCGAAGTTTATTCCTGAGTATCAACGGAATTTATTTAAATCAGCAGACATATGCATTCGGTATTCAGTTGATGTAGTTTATGTTAGTTGCTACAGTCCTTTGTAAATTGGTAGTACAAGTCCATGAGATTTGAAGAATAATGGTCGTCTCCAAGTCCCATAGGGTTCATCCGTTCAAAGAATTTTTTAATAATTAGCCTAAGAAAGCGGTTTTATACAGCAGAATGTTTAGACATTTCTGAACAGGTAATGTGCCAAGCATAATATCCATATAAAAGTCTGACGAGATCATTTCAGAGCACGACTCGCGTTTTCAGGTTAATGTTTTGGTTTCGTAGCAATTGGCGGTGTTGTGCGAAACTACCAAGTCTATTCTATGTCCAATTTCCTCATCTCATATACAAAATTTATTATAACTGATCGATACACCGAAGTATCTGAAGTGTTTAATATTTAATAATTCCACATGCTCATCTTTTATGATGGATTCCGTTTAACTGCTAACACCAGTTGCATCGATCGACAGCAATCAATAGTAATTGTAATATTAACCCTTTCCCTACAAGGAAACATTTGATATTGACCTAGCAGTCAGTACTGTCTTGAAAATTTATAAAATTTTTCTCTTAAAATATTTTTTCAGGAAAATAGGTTTCTTAAATATTGCTCTTTCTAAAATTACCTGCAATTGAGTGAAGTTTGTATCAGATTGATTGAAATTTTAGTTAAAAATTTGTGTTGAAAACGATTTGTGTTGAAATCGACTTTTTCTTATTCGCATTTTTTCGCTAAACGTGGGGGCGTAGAAATAGAAATGAGATATCGTTGAGTTCGTCATGATGTAAGTAACCTACATACCGAGTTTGAAGAAAATCGGAGGAAAAAAGTTGAATTTATCGATTTTTCATCGTCTTTAGAAATTATTGATATTTTTTTTTTAGAAATTATCGATATTTTACGCTAAGAACCTTTCTCTTACATTGTACAATGTATGTGCCAAGTTTGGTCAAAATCGGTTCGATGGATCTTGAGTGCAAAGGTACCAAACAGACAGACGCACATACATACTGTATTATATATATATATATATATATATATATATATATATATATATATATATATATATAAGTTATGAAGAACTTGGTAAACCGAATGGGTAATTCCAAGGAGGATGAAATCCTGAGAGCTAAATGTGAATACAGAGCTAATATTTAATGAAAAACAGACCACTTTAAGGTACCATTACAATAATTTATTTCACCAAAATCCTTTTTAAAGGACTCCGGACCATCAGGTAACAATTCCAACAACGAAATTTCGTTGTTGGAATTTGTTGTGTACGATACACCTAATTTACATAAGTGGAGTACCGACCATATAAATATGGATTGGTACCGGAAGACGGGGGAAGATTAAGAGATCCAATCCAGAGACTCTGCCCGACTGCGATTTAGTCAACCCATTATGCAGGAACAGTCTTCCCAAGAATATACCAAAACTAACTGTAAATATTGTGTACCTTTTCCTTGTTTCAATACATTTTGTTACGTACATTTTGTGTTGTATTATTATTATTCCATGCTTATCCAAGTTTCAACAGAATTGTTACCTGATGATCCGGAGTCCTTTAAAAAGGATTTTGGTGAAATAAATTATTGTAATGGTACCTTAAAGTGGTCTGTTTTTCATTAATTATATATATATATATATATATATATATATATATATATATATATATATATATATATATATAGAGAGAGAGAGAGAGAGATGATGGATTCAGTGTAAATGAAATGACTACTCTAACTAGAACGTAATGGTTTGCAGATTTTTTTCAAAATAGGAAGTGGTAGGAGAATTTAATTTATGGTTATTTTTATTTATTTTTTTAAAGAGACAATTTCTAAGCTTTTACACTCATTCTTATATGAAGTATTTTATATCCTTCTCTGCTTAAGTCTCTCTTCATTATTAAGTAGAGGGGCCCCTGTGTATTTTTATTAATCAGAAAAGAACGACAAGCCGGTTATTAATCGGCGTTTGTCCGTCTGCCATTTCATCGGCATTTATCTTCTTCTTTTTTTTCTCTCCCCCATTCTCCTGTCTTTTGTCGGCTTTCATATGGTGGCCATCTTAGCGTGGAGGGAATCGATTTTTCTAGCACGCACCATTATTGTATGTCTTGTTTGATTTCCTGTCAATGGCCGTCTGTCTGTTTATGTAACAAAGTTCGCATCACAATGGGTGGAAGCAGCGACGTGCAGGTTGGAATCGGGCGAATAAAGAGACTTGGCGGGAAAGAGGCGCTGCCCGATTACCGGGAGTGTGGTTCCACAGCATCGAACAGGAGCAGCTGCCGCTCCCGAAATAGGCTGTCAGCTAGTCATCAAACACATCTTCATCATATGGAAAGCAGACAGAACGGAGAAAATAAAATAATAATAATAATAATAATAATAATAATAATAATAATAATAATAATGATTGCGCGGTATTGGCACCCACTGAATATAAAACATGACACGATAGAGTGGGGCAATATTTGCACAAGAAAATCTCCAACACTTACGGAAAGAAATTGGTATGAACACCACCCAGACACGGTTACGGAGATAGGACCTGTAACAATTTTGTGGGACAGTACAATACACAGAGACAGAATAATCAAAGCTAATCGCCCAGACATCGCGATTAGAGACCGCAAAGACAAAATATGGCTCCTTATTGACAGAGCAGTCCCCTGAAGGCCGCAGTGTATCTTTGAAGATCTTCAAAAAACTATGAAATACAAGGACTTTGAAATCGAAATCTCAAAAATGTGACGCATGAGGATATCAATAATTCCAGTTGTAGTTGGAACCCTCGGATTGATTGGAAAATTTTCCAATAAACACTTTAAAGAAATCCCTGGTAGCCCATGCCTCATAGAAATAAAAAGATTGTACTCTCAACTTTACGAATGGCTTTATCTATGCAAAATATGTGTAACTTTTTTTTTAAATTGCTCAGTGGAAAATGTCATGATGCCATTTCTGAAATTAGGTCTCTGGTTTGAACCCGAAATGAAAGAGGTAGACACCATAAACCAAGGAAATAAAACAATGCTACTACTACTACTCATAATAATAATAATAGTACTAATAACGATTTTTCTTGCTTCATCGTCGTATTCCTCGAAATACATTGCGTTTATTTGTTTGTCTTTCGGGTTAAAACGTTGCTTTCTGTTATGGTATAGTCTCTGGAATGAACTAGAACTAGCCACCTCAGTGGCAGGGATTTAACAAGTAAAATAAATCCTCCCGGATGATTTCGGAAAAGGTCATTCCGAGACGATTTTATATATCTTAAACAAAAATATAAACACCTTGTATCAAATGTTCCAAGAAATAATACTCAACATAAACCTTTCCTGAACAGAATCTATGATCTGGAATTGGAAATTAATTCAGTGACGGTATGTACCCTTAATCCATCTTAAAAAATCCAGACGGTGGAATTGGTAAATATTAACACTTCAAATACTTTGCTTTATCGATCAGTTAAAGAAAAAAATGAATATAGGAAATAATAAAATTAAACCCAAAAGTCACAAAAAGCTAGGATGGAAGTAGTTTTGTCAAAGACTGCAAATTACTATAAAACCAAAAGATCAACCCGAAAACTCCGGTCAAGTTCTTAAATATCGTCATCATAGTGAGATTTTAGTGTGGATTTCATGCCTGACTCCAAACTCGTTCTGATATATCAAAACTGTCGGCTGTAGTCACCACTTTCTTGCGTCATTAGTTAGAAATACCTTTAAGCGAATGAAACCTGTAGGTTTTAAAGACAACAATCCTTCGTTGAAACTCGTGATGTCATTGTTGTTTCATATTATTTTATATATATATATATATATATATATATATATATATATATATATATATATATATATAAAATAAAAAAAGAAAGAGGTTGTAGTGGTTCCAACGAGAGAAAAGTATGTATATTAAAAAGAAGAGAAGAGAGGTGCCGCAAACGTTTTTGGTTGTAATGTGGATTTATTTAGAAAAAAAATATTATGTTTTGTTTTACATAATTTTACTACACGTGTTTCTGGTCTCGCGACCGTCTTCAGGTAAAAGCGGAGATTTCCACATATTATTAAAAATAATTAATTTTTTTCTTTTTTTCTTTTATATATATATATATATATATATATATATATATATATATATATATATATCTAAACTATCAACATATTTTGGTAGATACTACCAAATTTTATACATAATTCAATGCAAAGGAAAATAATACAAAATAAACAAGATAAATTAAATAAAATATCGCTATCAACATCTATATCATATAGCGTCTTGAAGCGTATATTTAATATTTAATATGCGTTCGAAATAATTAATACATATGTAGAAAAAAAAAGATTTATATATATTCGATAGTTTCTTTTTCGTCTAACTTTTACATACGACATATTTTTGAATTGATTCCAATTCTATGGCCAACGAAATAAATAACGCCAAGATAGAGTTAACAAAATTTCATTCACCATACTGACAATAGCCAGTTCGTAATAATGACTAAAACTGGCGAAAATACTCGAAAATAAAAGAACAAAACATGGACGTTGAACAGATTATACATAATTTTTATCCAAGGATAAATAAATAAAAAATACTAAAATATATATATATATATATATATAATAATATATATATATATATATATATATATATATATATGAATAAAGGAACTGTCTTTTCCGGTTGAATTGAAGGAAATTTCTTTGGCTGAATAAGTAGTTCTAGCGGTGAGGGATAATATGTCTATTTATTAATATATACTTAATAGCTCTGTTATATTACATAGAGCACTGTTTTAGTAACAGCAATACTATATGTGAGATATATATTATTATTATTGTAGCAGAGCTACGGCGATACGGGCAGAGAGGATCCCCAAACGAGGATATGTCGAAGGGCAGAGTCTCGTCTCAGGAAAAAGCTACCTGATCCCGTTTTATAACTATTTGCCTATAGCTGAGACCCTAGCAGGTGCTACCACCTCGAGTTAGGGTGGACTTGAGAACACCGATAATTAAGGAGTTCCACGCTCCTCAAAACCTCCTTATTAGAGACCTTGCTGTTGGATGTAGTTTATCGTCTTACCCAGGACACGAATGTAGATTATCGTCTTACCAAGGATGGCATTTTGTTGAGATCTAATCGATCATTTAATAATAATAATAATTCGAGAAAGAAATAGAAGAAGAAGAAGAAGAAGAAGAAATAGAAGAAGAAGAAAACTCTATTAAAATGGAAGTCTTTCAAAACTGAATACATAGCATCAAGCTTATTTGCCGATAGATTTTACAACAAACAATACTGTCTTTTCGTTGCCTGAAATCTATTTGTAAGCAGGATATCGTCATCTCACTGGTTGTCTTTCAGCTGTTGATTGATGTTATAGCTTACCTACGGACGATAATGGGTATGTCCCCATTCACATAAATAGAGTAGTTAATACTGTATGTTGGTCTGCAGTTGGAGATTCGTTTCCAGCTCGGCTGGTTAAACCGGGCAGAGAGGACCCCCAAACGAGGCTATGTCGAAGAGCAGAGTCTTATCTCGGAAAACAGCTACATGGTCCCGTTTTATACCTGGCCTACGGGGAATTTTTTGCCGAGCTTACGGGCTCGGATACCCCAGATTAAATTCGGCCTTTTATTACACCTGACCGCATGAGGCGGTTGGTAGATATCCTACAGTTGGAGATTCGTCTCCAGCTGTGCTGGTCAAACTCTCTGCCACCGGGCAGAGAAGATCTACTGATGAGGCTATGTCGAAGGGCAGAGTTTCGTCTCGGGAAACAGCTAAACCACACCGTTTTATAGGAGGTCTACGGGAAATTTTGGGCCGATCTTACGAGCTCAGATATCCCGCATTAAATTCGGCCTTGTGCCACATCCGACCGCGTGGAGTGGTTGGTAGATATCCTGCAAGTAGAGATTCATTGTGGAATTTACTTGACTCGCTTCTAGCAAGTGACTACTTCTACGGACCGCTTGCGAATCTTATATGTGTTGTTCTTGTCCTAAGTATAATCGTTCATTATCAACCTTCGTTTGATTGTTCTATTCAGTACCCTTCTCTAGGTTACAACAATGACACACACACACACACACACACACACACACACATATATATATATATATATATATATATATATATATATATATATATATATATATAAACCTAGTGAGCCAGACAAACCTACCCAGGTTTCACCTAAGCGAATCGTCAAAGGTAAAAATTTGAGGGTTTTTCGAATCAAAAATTTGATATTTTTATATATATATATATATATATATATATATATATATATATATATATATATATATATATATATATATATATGTATAGGTATAAATGAGAGAACAAATCGAGTATAATTCCACTGTATGTAACATTTAATTTAAAAATTATATACATTAAATATTTTCTGATTGTACGTTATTTTAATAGATACAATTTAATTAAATTCTCTGTTTTTTTTTTTAATTAAAATTATTCATCACCCTGATTGTTCGAGAAATTTCATAGAAAATATATGTTTCTCCAACAGGGATCGAACCTGTAACTCCAAATGGAATCATCGTCTGATCTTATGTGCTGTTTACCATTCAGCCACAAACAAGAGTCTGGTAAATGGTATCTGAATTACTGTTACTGAATTAGTTTTTGCTTGACTATTTATATACACAAGTCAGTGATGCATTGTGTGTGATATATTGTATTATTCTCACGGTTATTTTTTAGGTCGATAACGGTTATGTTTCTATTTATTCTAGGGGCTATTAAGTGGAAATAATTTAGGATCCTAATATAATTTGGGAGGCTATATATAGCGTTATTTTTTTTTAATTTGATATAAGGATATTACATCGAAAATATGTCAAATTCGCTACAAAATTGCAGTCGTGTTTCGATGTGTATCAAATGCATCACATCAGGCGATTATAAATTACTGGCGAGAATTTAAGAAATCTTTCACTCACCAGTAATTTACAATCGCCTGATGAGATGCATTTGAGACGCGTCGAAACCAAACTGCAATTGTGTAGCGATTTTGACATGTTTTTGATGCAATATACTAAAAGAAAGAATATTGCTCTACTTTGTATTGAGCCCTCTTTTAACTTAAATGTTAGGAACGTTGGAGTTGTACTCTATTCCTTCTCATTTTACCAGGATCTCTATCTATCTATCTATCTATCTATCTATCTATATATATATATATATATATATATATATATATATATATATATATATATATATATATATATATATAATGGTCAACTCTCCCGTCGTATTC